GAAAACTGTAATTGAAGTGGGAAGATATTTGTTTGCTTAATGGATAGCATTTTGTAATTTAAGTGAGAATTGTCTTGTAATTATCCAATAAAATTATTGTTGTTATTATTGCTAATATTATTATACTTTATTGATGACCGGAAAGTTTGTCATACTAATTGATAACACAGTAATTCATTATTAGTATGTACAAATCGTTCAATGTAAGGGAATTCAAAACTGAAATTAGATTTGTTTGCTTTAAATTAAATGCAATTAAATTTGGTTTCTTTTATAAAATTATTCAACAATTTTCATTTATTTTCTTTTACTCTATGTGATAAATAACTTAAACAGTGACGAAAATTGCACATTCATTGATACTTAAGTACTCAATTTAATTAAATTATTTTAGTGCATAACTTTATATTTTCACTGCATAATTTTATAAACGTTTTATTAATATTGTCAAATATTTTTTGTCGAAATATTTAATTCATTACTTAAAATAAAATTGCTAACTTATAATCGTGTAATTAATTACTGATTGCAAATTCAATAATTTATTAATTGAAAATTTACACAAAAGTTGAAAATGCATTATTATTGCATTTTAATTCGTTAATATTGTTCTTCTAATATTGCCTTTTTTCATGCATATATGTAGTAATAAATCAAATTAAGTCTTTGAGTACTACAACAAAGGTGTTAATTTTGGGCTATTACTATCCACTATGTCATTATGTTGTGATCATGCACTTTTTTCACCGTAATTTGAATTTAAATTCAAAAATTATATTGTTAATATGACTGAAATCACTCTGAAATTTTATTTACAGTTAAGTGTGCTCATGGAAGATAGCTCTTATGCAATGCTTATTGTAAAACTAGACTTTTTAAATTTTCCTAAGCAAATAAATTACTGTAAATAAAATGACAATAAGGTAAGTTGACACAATATTAGATCATCTCACTTTCAAATTTTGTCAATAAAAATGAAAGAAAATGTTAAATAGAGTTTTGTATACAAATTATACTGTAATTGTATTGTTATACTGCAGCAATTATTCGTAGATTGAAAGCGTACAAAAATAAATTTTGCATTTACTCGTTCATCATGCTTTATGCACAATTCGTTTCTTTAATAATACTTTTTTACTGTATATTTTTATATTAATTTGCCTCATAATAAAAATTCGAATACAATGAAACCAGTTTTGTAATTAAGTATTATATTTTAATTAAATCGAAATTTAGTAAAAATTAAGTTAGTCAGTATTTCCTCAGGACAGATTATTTAGATTGATAATGAATATTACTTTTTCATTAAGAAAAAATTTCACTTTAATTGAAAAGTACCCAACTCGTATTACTGCAAGTGTTAATGACTCTGATAAACTGAGCTAAAGTTGTTAGTAATGTACTTTATTAAACGTTAATAAAATAAAATAAAATAAAATTAGTTTAATTTTATAAGATTAATTAATGTAACGGAAGCTCTCTACTAATGATCTATCTGTACACATATGAGATAGCAATCACATTTAATTCTTGAAATACCACAATATTTTTTGATTTATACGTTTGCTTGGGAGTCTTACGTTCCCATCATTGTTTGCGTAAGCAAGTTCTAAATCACATTTGCATATCTACGAAAAGTATTCTTCTCTATGCACTAATTCTGAACAAAATGTTCAGTTACACATTCACTTTTGTCTTTTTTTCTAATCATATTATTACTTTAAATATATAATTTACTTTCAAAATATAATCTACAAATTGAAATGTCAATTATGTAATTGAAGTAAATTTGTAATGGACTACAAAAAATTATTTTAATGAGTCATTCATTTATCCTCACGTGAAACTGAACTTTTCATCAATTTCTCATTGTCGTAACAAAGAAAATGTAATTTTTGAATCATATATTTATTTCTACGTGAATCAAAATTAAGTACGTCTAAATATCAATAATATTTTATTAATAAGAGAACAAAAAAGTAACTTAGCTTTATTCACATTTACTTGTATATACTAATTTTATACTACGTGAAACATGTTTTGCTTTATATATTTGACAGTTAAGTGTGGTCATGGGAGATAGCTTTTATGCAATGCTTATTGTAAAATTAGACGTGAACATGTTGAAAATTTCTCAATCAATAAACTTCTGAAGTAATGAAATAAAATGCTGCATATCAAAAATTGTTCCAAATGATGTATACATGCACGCAGCGCGTCAATTATCTGATCATAAATTTCATAATTTGTAATAATTACGTCACTTTATTAAATCTTTCATGATTTCAAACTTTTTGTGTACGTTGAAAGTTTAGCTTTGTAAACAGTCTCAGCATATTGAAATTGAAATATTACTTTGATGATTAAAGAGAGTTCTTCTAATATATCAGAACGATGAATTTTCTTAAAATATTGCGCTTATTTAACGAATGAATACTTTACTCAAATCAAATGATATATAAAATCCGTGTATTGTTATTGACTATAAATCAATACTTATAGATGATGATACAGTCTGCTTCTCGTATCAGTGAAGCACTAATAAACGACGAGATGGCAACTTCTTCAACAAAAAGTCATAAAGTTTTACGTAATAATTATCGACGACGTTCAATTTGGCTTCATGCAAAGCGGTTATTTCGTAAACGATTATTACCGCGAATTACTCGGAAAAGAAGTTGCATTATGTCGTTAGACGTGACAAATAGGAAAAAAGAGCAAGTAACAACCAAGCTATTAAAATTAGCTGTATCTGATTCAAGTGCTAGCATGCATCCTTTAATTCCTTTCGTATTCCGTCAAGCATACCATTATCTTAACTTTTACGACCGTCTACGTTTCCGTCAGGTGAGACTAGTACTTATATATATAATCTATACTTAGTTTTACAGTTAATTTTAATTCCGTCACAGTGTATAAAGTATTGATTTTTGTGATTGTGTATGGATGGTTCTTTTCTTTGGATGAGAAGAGAAAAAAAGTATAGACCAGTCTAAATTTGTTGAAAATATTTTACGTAAGTGAATTGGTTAATACTCAACTTGTATCACTACATGACTCTGTCAGGATTTTCAAGTTAGATCAGAAATAGTGCTATCAGGCTACTGTCAAGACCAGGCTTATAAGATTGTAATTTGATCTGTCTAAATAGTTAAAAATGTTATTGAAAGTAATTTGCGTCATATTAGTCTTTTGATTCAGTTGACTTCATTCAATTTATTTTTGTATACAATAAAGACCAAAGTGAACTGTTTTTTAGATGGCATTTGGCAGTTCTGAAAATAATCATCTATATAAGCATTATGATCCTTAATAAAAAATATTTTAGTAAATCGGTTTTCATGGTGATTTTTTTAATTATCAATCTGTAATTGACGAAATTTATCAGTTCTTATGAAATACATAACACATTAACATTACTAATTATGACATACACACTATTGCATCATTGTAATTAGTTATTTTTCCATTAAAAAAATAAATGTAAATATAAGTTTTTTAAAATAGTGTCATAAATTTTAGACATGTCGTTTAACTAACGAAATCTTTCAACAAAGTTTGATCAGCCTACCTACAATCAAGTTTCATGGCAATTCATCGGATAGCATCGAGATTTCGGCAGATCATGTGAATACTGTCGTTAAATTTTTGCTTCCAGAATTTGATTTTGATCCAGGTTTTATTCAAGATGGCATCCTAACATTAGAAGATTGGCAAGCTGAACTAGTTATCAAACGAATAGGTATGACTTCCATGGAACTGATATTTTTATAGGTATATTAAAGTGTTATTTTTCATGATCACAAGAGCTTGCAAAAATTTTTATTTGTTATTTATTCCCATCACTTTTACAGTATGACCAAAAAGTTCTGATAGAAAATAATTTGTGCAAAAAATTCTTCATTCTGTCTTCCTAAAATTACTTTTAGACTTAAATTATTCGGGAATAGTTTGTAGTGATATATTGGCATTAAAGTCCTAAAAGTCAAGATTGATGGTTATTTTTGCAGTAACACGTGTTGACATCATTGAGCATCTTTACTTAGACACACCAATCAATGATGAATTGTGTGAAGCTGTTATGAGAAATATCGCGAAAAGAAATTCAGGAACAAGTACACGATGGCGTCCTCTTAAAATGAAAAAAATGACAGTCTTTGGCAACGATGAGGATGAATTTAGTCATGTGTGTATTTCTGAAACTTTGAAACACTTTATGTTTCATTTTAATTACTGTTCAGACTAAATTATCATATTCAAAATTTACTTCAGTAAAAAAGAGTAACTGCAGGTAGCTCAAGTTGTGAGTCACTTTTCATCATCACTTCGGGAACTGTGCTTCTGTCATATGTACATGGATTTGGGTTTGTACTGCGAGCAATTTTGGAGTGCTATCAAACGGTGCCAGAACCTGAAGTATTTTCACTACCAAACTTGCAATTTTGATGATTTCTCTCATTTGCACCTTGAAGAGGCTCTAGCTGGGAAAAATTTGACGTAATATCTTCAAACAAAAATTCTGTTTCCAACAAAAAATATTTTTCATCATTAATGTTTGCCTTTTTTTCATGAGTTAATAAGTTACTTATTGTATCTAATTTGATAGTAATTTTTGAGATGAATATATGTTAGCGAGTAAAAAATGCAAAAACTATAAATATTAGGTTATTTCGATAATTGTTCTGTACTTATAATTTTAGGACGTTTGAAATTGTTGGAGTTTGTAATCTTTCTCCAGAAATTCTGTCAAAGACAATTGCTGGTGCTCCGATTCGAAACTTGGTTGTCATTTCTCCCTTAGTGAAACTGCACTCATTTTTAGAGTGTGGTCTTGAAAAGAAACTGAATAAGCTAGAAATGGTTCTTGTTGAGGTAAACAGCTCTACCTCTAATAATCAAATCTTTTGATATGCACAGGAACTTAAGCAAACTAATTTTATCTGATGTGTGCTTTAATGTAAAAAGATGCTTGTAATCTTTGTATTTAATGTGGTGATTAAATATGATCTAAGTTACTATTATTATTATTATTGTTGTTATTGCAGTACGATGATTCATTGGATTTGAGCGACATGGATGAACAAAAACTTGTAATTAAAGTGCTGAAACAGATCTCTGTAGATGCAAAACTTCTGATTCTCCACATTACGAGAACTAACGCCTGGAAGATCACAAAAATCATAAATTATTGGCTTGATGTGGCTAAGTTAGTCGTGAACTTTAGCAATTCGTTCCTTAAACTTCTCAAACAAAAAACTCGAATTTCAAACATTAATGAATTGAAATAAAGTGTAATCATTGTGTTTATATACTTTTCCTGTTCATTCTATACTTATAGTCCTATTTTAGAGAATCAGTGCGTGATATCGAGCTTAAACTATCTAGGGTTCCGCAGACTCGAATAGATCAAGCTATCGGGCGTTTATTGCGAAGATTTAGACAGGTGTTCAAAATAACTAGCTGTGGTTAGTTTGAGTATTATATTGAACTAAAGCAATTCATTGTAAAAAAGAACTTTATGCAGGAAATTTTGGATATGGAGATTTTTATTTCCCATTTCTTAGCAAAAGCATATTATACAAAGTAAGATAGTGGAGGTTAATTTCAGGATCTTCAATGGTGCTAACAAAGGGCCAAGGTAGTGTGTGCATACTTAGCAAATATACATGGTTCGGAGCCGGGCAAGATAGTAATGATGAAAGTGATGAATATGAATAACTGAAGACGTGGCCAAATAAAAAAAGATCAAGTATTTTATGTCGGTCAATAAATAAATAATGTTGATTTTTAGATAAGCTAAATTGTTGTTGAAATATCAAGAAAATTAAACGTTAACAAAACATAGAGATTTCCTTACATTTCTAGGGTTTCGTATTGCTTAGAAGGTAAATATGAGACGTAGATAGCCATGAGTAAATTATTCATGCAAGTTTAACATATGTAAAATCGATGGCTGATCTTGAATAGAGAGGCAGAGACTGTTTACTAGTCTTGGGGCGAAAGAGGGATACGAAATGGAAGTATATTTTAGGCACTGGTTAGTCATCCTGGAAATGCGGGGCTTACTTCAACATTATCTTATTATGTTTTACTTTCAACTTTCGGTGAACTATTGTTTTTTTCTTTCACTTTGCATGTTATGAGGTTGTAAATGCAATTGTTTATTAATAGTGTAATTATCGCAGCAATGATAATTACATTTATCATTATTTTGAACGTTCATATTTTGATCTATTTTGTTGCATTAACAAATTTTGAACGTTTTATATAATTGTAAACATGTTCAGTATTGGGATATTGAGATAAATGTATCAGTATTTTGTTCTGAAATGAAATAAATAATTAATTTTGCTACTTCTACGATTCTGTTTTAATTCAGCGACAAAGTATTGTTGCTTCGAGAAAGAAGCATATTTTGGCGGTTGTGAGATGTCTACATCTATTATTACATTATTGTTTGTTGGATTAGGTTGCAGTATTTTTGTTCGACTTCTGTAAGTTCAATCAGTTGATCTATATAAGTGTTGATTTTAGTGAATAATATCTTTATTGATAGAAGAGTGCTTCATCAGCATTTTCTAAAACTGGTTGAAAAAAAATCAAAATGATTTTTTGTTATCACATAGCTTTTGAAATTGAATTATCCAATTATGATAGAACTTAGAATTTTGGTTTCTTTCATTTCAGTATTGCATATTTTGTTTTAAGATACTTAATTTTGAGATTCTTGAGATTTAAGCTTGCTATTAGATGTGAACAAACGCGTCTACAATCATACTCCTGGACCTTGTCGATTGGTCTGGACACCTGCTGGTAATGACTATTTTATTGGGTTCATATACTCTGTTCCATGGTCTTATTCTTTTATCAAACTTTTCCATGATTATTTTTAGTCCAGTTTTATTTTATGTACTAAAATATTTAAAGCATTTGTAAAAGAGCTTTCTTGAAACGAAATAATCATTGAATATTAAATGAGATTGTGTTTTTATATAATTAAAATATTTATAGTAAATGGTTCTGGTGGAATTACTCTTATTTCCGAATTGGACATTGCTTTAATAACTAGTGGATATGCAAAAAGTCGAGGAGTTACGAGTGTTGTTGGTGCAATATATCTTTATAATTTCACTGATAATAGAAATTATAAAGCAAATAAATTGAATATTAAAGGCTTTGATCTGGTAAATTACATTTTGAATTCAGTTACTGCTGTTCTTACTTTTGCTTTCTCATAGCATATAGCGTTCATTAAAATTGTTTCAGAAGTCAGTAATAAGTACTCGGCATTTTCGCCATTTTTTGATTTTGGAAAATGAAAAATTATCTACAAAATTAAGTTGCGGAATATTCGAAATTTCTTCTCGAAGTTACTTATGTTTCATGAAAGCAGCACAGTTTACTTGATTTACATTTCTTTACTTGGCTTCTGTTACTCAATTTTCACTTTTCGTACTGATGCTTCCACATCATTACCATATTAATAATAATTTTGCAGCGAAAGTTTATACCCTATGGTATTGATACGTACGTAAGTCGTGGTCGAGTAACTGTTTATGTGACGAACTCTCTACCAAACAATGATACAGTTGAAGTTTTTCAACTTGATCTAAATAATTTAGCACTTATCCACAGGAAAACGATAAGCAGTAGTAAATTTCTCAAGTTTGTTTCTCATTAGCAAGAGATTCTGAAGTTGATTAATTAATCTTTTCATATCTTAAAGCCAGTATATTAATTTGCAAAGTTTTAGGTGGTTAATTCAATGAGCAATGGCTAAAATTTATTCAGATGTTTTTTATTTGAGTAATTAGCTACGCTATTATCGCTTCAAGACTGAAAAATCTTATGAGAAACAATTTTTCAGTACAAAGTATTTGCGAATTTTAAGTCATAAATCTTTTTGATGCTGCTGCAAATATCGATATTTTTTGATTTCAGCTTGGCTGATATAGTCGTAGTTGGAGCCGATCGGTTCGTTGTTACTAATTATTTGTATTTTCGGCAGCGATGGATGCAAATGTTGGAACTTGCTATGCAGGCATTTTCTGGTTCGGTTGTTTATTATGATGGCCATGAAGGAAGTTATCTCTTGAAGTCAGTTGTCTTAATGAGTTTGAAAATATGCTTGCCAGTTAACAAACTTTGAAAGCTATACCTTTTGATTATTAGTGATTATGTGATGAGATAAAGCTAATTTTTTTGCCACATTCGAAAAAAAAATCGGATAACCTTATTAGAACTACTAAGTAAGAAAAGAACGTGATTTCTAGGCTTGTCAGTTATAACTATTAAGTACTGAATTTTTTTCGAGTTAGGAAATTTTTCGTTCTTGTTTACTTTTGTTATTTAACTATATTTGTACAGTATTTTTTATCTGAAACTATTCCTATTAGATATTTCCCCGCGCCAAATGGCATTGCTTTGAATAAACAAAAAAATCAGTTGTATGTTGCCAGCACTATAAGTGAAGTAAGTTAAAGTTTTACTTTAATTTGGACATTATACGTCAATAAAATAATGAATTTTAAATTGTTAGTGCAATTTAATTATTATTTATACTGATTAAAATTTCTAGCGAATATCAACTAAATTGTGTTTTTGCAAGTAAAACTGAAACAAGTATTTGGTTATTATTAATTTAGTTTTAATATAAAGATGCACTATTATTATGGAAATTTTAGTTTATACGGGTTTACAATCTACGACAGGACATGTCGCTGTTATTTGAAACTGAAATTTCACTATTATCATCACCTAATAAACTGTTTGTCGAAGAAGCGACAGGAGATATTTGGATTGCTCTTCATCCAGTACTGTATAAAGCACATGAACATATTCAAGATCCGGCGAATATGAATTTGAAATCGCCATCACAGATTCTTCGCATACGTTTACAGGTATATTTCAATGTTGTTCCAATAGTTTACGAAGATAATATAATGACAGAAATTTGGAGATAAAATAAATTGTTTCCTTTGTCTCATTCACAGGATGATGGAAAGAGTTGGGTCATAACTGAACCTTATGCAAATGATGGAGCAACAATTTGGGGCTCATCGGCAGTGTTATTTCATAAAAATATTATGCTTATTGGTAGTTTTTTTGGTCGCACGCTTCACTGTGATATTGATAGCTCTCAAATTGTGTAATGGAAGCTTTTTTCAGAATATTCAACTCACCAGCCAATAATTTGTTGCAGTAAAGTAGTTAATTCAGCAAGAAGTAGAATAGTACTCTGAAATTATCATATTATTTCGTTGTTTTCTGCAATACTTACTTAAGCACAAATTTTCAGAGAAATTTGATTGTATGAAATAGTAAGATATACTTTCAAGAAGAATAAGTGATGAGTTTGAGTATCCATTAGTTGTAGGTTATACAGATAGAAGTTGGTAGAGGTTAGAGATTAGTTGATCTACCGTTTTTACGTGCCAGTTCTGATCATAATTATTTTTCGAAAATTTGATTCTTGTCTTCATAACAATGTTATAATTCTAATTTTTTCCTTTATCGAAACATGTTTTAAATCGTACAAGAATAGAAATTTAGTGTGAAGTTGTAACAATAAATGAATTAATTATTCCTGCCATTACATTCATTAGTAGACAGAAGAATTTTATTGTAAAAGAAAAGAAAAGAAAAACCAATAAGGTGAGAGGATTCATGACCCATTTGATCGATTTCTTCCAAAAAATTATACCGAAATATGCAAATCAAGCAGTGTGATAGATATGATGCATTAACAGAATTCTACAAAAGAAAAAATTTCGTAGAAAAAAAGTGGCATAAAGAATAGAAACTTGTGGTTTATGGGGATTGCTTGAATACTATACTATGAGTAGTGTTAGTAATTCTCTTCTGTAAAGAATCCCTGTATACTTCATGCAGTTTCTTTTATCAGTAAGTAGTGGCATATGTTAAGAGATTTGGAGTTCTTATAGATTTAACTGTTTAATGAAGAAGACCATTTTGAGAGCAATGAATTTTACATTAAAGAATTCCACCAAAATATACTCTAACAATCCAGATCAAAAAAGGTAACATGCATAGTGTGATTACTCAATAAATTCGTTACTCGGAAGAGGAGGAAAAGGATAAGGTTGAAAAACTACCAATGCTTGTTTGACGGCGTAAAGTTGGACTCGATGGAAATGAATGTGATAACTGCAGTGAATTATTAATATTACTAGGTAAAGTGAGTAAACTTGTAGATGACAAAGTCTGTGGTGGTGTTGTCACAGATAATGATGTTATCAGTTTATTTCGAGGAGTGAATGCGCTGGGGCGCAAGTTCAGTCCAATTAGTGGTGTTGTTGTTGTGACTGATGGAAGTGGTAAATTTTCCAAGATCGGCAACCGATAATCTAAATTATTCAGAAATGATCTAGAAATAAGTTTCGTCAAAAGTTTTACTTATTACTGTTTATTGCTATTATTATTTTTTTAAAATAATAATAATAATAATAATAATAGTAAATTTGACTCAAAAATCAAGGTAATAATAATGCATTTATATTTAAATTATTATTATGGTACTTGAGGGCTTATTTTCTGAGTTAGAACATTTGTTTACTTTTTCATATCAAAAATAAATTTAAATTGTATCTTTTACTTTTTTAAGAATATAAACGGAATATATACAAGAAATATTTTACCTCTGATAATCTCAGTTGTAGTGACTACGGTAGCTGCAGTGATTGCATTATCAGCACGCATCATCAAAGGATTCCCATATAATTGATTTGATGCCATCGAGGTAAGATTCTGCTGTGAACCAGCGCTATTTGAATCTGATTGCTGTAATTGACTACCAGACTGATTCAAAGATAACTGACTAATCGCTAATGGATTGAATTCAGGTGATCCAGGTGGACGTACATGTGTACGCATATGACGTGTAATCATATCACGTCGACTCTAAAAAATTTATAAACACTGTAAAATTCAATAAAAAAGAATTATCACAGAAAAATAAAAAAACACTGATTGTTAAGTAAAAATTATGCGTGCGTGGCTTGTAATATTCGATCATTTTTTCTTTTCAGTTGGCAGAAGTGATATTTGAAAATTTAAAAATTCAATACAAACATTTTGAATAAGTAACATTTTATGAAACTGAAACTTTACTTACAGCGGCATAATTGCACTGAGGACATCCGTAAGGTTTCTCACCAGTGTGAGTTCGTTGATGGGTGCTAAGATGGTCACTTCTTGAGAATACTTGACCACATATTTGACACCCATAAGGTTTAATACCAGTATGCAAGCGCATATGTCTTAAATGCAATATTGTTTAGTCGTGAATAGTATGAGATTTTCAGTATAAATATTCAGAGGTATAAAATGTAGAAGAACATTTTTAAATTGAAAACTTTTATAAAATGAGTGAAAACAACAATTAAAATGTCCATTTCATCTAAAAATCTTAAGTAATTTATCATCTCGGAAATTACAGTTCGGCTTTGATATCCTGCAAAATCAAATCTTACCTTCAAATTCAGAATGATTCATCTGAAGTTGGTATCAAAAAATGTTATCATACCTTGTTAGCATATCGCTTCTACTAAATGACCTATTACACGTAGTGCACTTATAAGTTTTCGAAGTACTATCCTCGCCAATTTCTGATGCTGAACGATCCCGATGACGTGAAGCGATGTGCTTTGCAAGTCTATCGTGCAGTGCAAATGCCTTAAACATAAATAAATTTTATTTACTAATCAAAAATTTTGTATTTTAGCCACAGGAGCTTTTTAAAAACAACAAAAAAATTGATAAAATTTGTTTCATGACGTCACTTACAATTATTAGCATTACTTTAATATTTTTTGTATATTAATAATGAATAATTTTGGTAAATGTACAAAAAGAGGTTATGAGGAAAATTTTTTTGACCTGTCCACAGTGTTGACAGACATGTTTTCCGGAGTTGACATCTGATTCTGAACGACTTCTACGCCAGGTTGTTCTAATCTGAAGCTGCGCATTAGATTATTATCAGGTAAAATTTTGATTTAAATATAATACACATAACTATTATAGTGATAATTAATAAGGATGAGCAAAAAAGCTGGCATTTATTTTTTCTAAAAATATTACTTTACATAATTCTTAATTACTTATAACAAATAATTTCATGCTTAAAACTGAGTGGTTTGTTCTTTATGTTTGATATTAAATTAACATAAATAATACTTTTAGCAAACAAACATAGCCTTTTTTCTTCTAATTTATTCCTAAATTAACAAATTTATGCGCATATTACTATTTCAACTAGAAGAATTGATAAGTTGGTGGCTGAAAAAGAACAAACTCTCATCGGTCCAAAGTTACTGCCTATTTCAGGTGATACTGTATTGCGCAACATTCCACGGGGCGTATGGTCGTCAGGAAGTGTGAGTAGACGTGGTCCTCCAACCTGTGATTAATTACTGCAGGTACCAAAAATATATCTTTAAATCTAATTAAGAGAAATCATCAAAATATGTTAATATCTTTGCATAACCAATTTACTTTTGAGTATAAAAATGACCTATGAATTGTGCTCAGCTATTCCTAAAAGAGAATGCAAATTTTATTATTACCTAATTAATTACTGAACGAAAATTTCGCATGTATAAGCATTATTAAAGTGGTAAAGTAATTAAAAAGGCATTTAATTAAGAATTTGGCTCTAATGACTTAAATAAGATTATCACTTTGATATACAAAATAAACTATTTTTAATATCTGCTCAAAGTATCTTGGCTGTGTTCAATGGTCACTTTTATTGGCATTAGTAAGATACAAGTTTTGGTTTGTTCAGTGGTCACTTTTATTGTCATTACTGAGTTACAAGTTTTGACCTATAATAACATGAGATCTTTGGATCATTAATGACCATTTATTAAATGATCCAAAGATGCCTTTACAATTTTATACAATTCAATAAGTACTCAACTAATAAATTACAATTTTTATTGTAGAAATTATGATCAAAGGTTTTAAACTTGAAAAGTTTACTCATTCTTTTTGTAAGTAAACTTACATCCACTAAAGCTGGACCTGGAATGCCTAAACTGTGGTACCAATGATTGCGCCATGTGAGTAATTGATGCTGAATCCATGCATTGAACTGTTGTTGACTACCAAATGGTTCATTTGAAGGTAATAATGACTAAAAGCAACAATTCAATTTAAAAAAATTATTTTATTTTAAAAAAGCTCTTGCTTACATAACTTTTTATTAATTAATTTCTAAACTGTAAATGCATTTTTTATATTTTATAAAAATAATAATACTGTACCACGCGAGTACCGTACTTCATGATAGTTTGTTTATCATACAAAATGCAGTCTATTAATTTTTATTTTACAAGACAAATTTTAAAATAATAAAAATTAGCCAGCCTGTTGCGATTGTAATTCAGTTCCAGATGTGAGCAAATTATCATCAAATGTTAATTGTCGACTTAAAGATTTTGTTGAAAAACTTCTCGTTTTTGTCTTCTGAATAATCATCTTTTTTTTCCACTCAGAAATTGAAGTAAAAAAATTTTCATGTATTTTACAAAAATATTTCTCAGTTAGAAATTACTAACTTCAAAATGACTTATTCACAGAAATAAATACTGTCATTAACTACGCTTAAAACGCATTGTTATTTATTTTATTTTGGATTTGAGCTTTGTTTTTAATTTGGGATTTTTTTTTCTTAGACTGATTTTTTATCTGATTTCATTTTTTATTTGAATTATTTGTCATAAAATAAAATATTTTTTAAATTCATCTCAAACATGCATTCAATGCAAATTTTAGATTTTTTCGAGCGAAAATTTAATCATTATAAATAAGCATAATTCTGTAATTGAATTAAAAATATTGAAAATAATTTTTCATTTAAAAGGAATTTGTAAAAGCTATTATTATAATATTAAAAATGAATTTCATTTATTTGTAAATGAAAAATGATATTTGCTTACTTGAGGAAAAGGCTGTGTTGCCGTTTTAGGATTCATTTCAGAAGCAGAAGAAGCGAATGGAGCGCATTGATTAGATTCACATTTTTGAACTTTTTTATCTTCTTGTTCCTTTTCGTACTTTTGCAGTAAACGTTTTTTGTATTGACCTGATGTAGACGAAAGCCTAGTTGATGTTACAGGAATCTAAATTTATTAACAATAATTACTTATTTCATCAAAGTAAACCAATTTTTCTACTTTTCATAAGAAGTTTAATTAATTAATTAATAATCTGAATTTGAACTCGAAATACAATTAAATAAATGTTATTAATTGCTAAGATCAAATTAATTATAACAAAATTATTACAAATTAATTTGATTACTTCAAGACATTGTAGAATTTTAAACATTTTTAATACTATAATATTTACCGAAATGGTAGATTGCACTGGAGATGTATCCATTTTTTCCTTCACAGCAAATTCGCCATCGGAATGACTCCTTTCCCTGAACAATCATGCAAATGATTCTATCAAAAATTTTAATCAATAACTTGAAGTACAAATTCGCATATTAACACATTAATCAATGATATTTTTCCATATGTTTTTACAAATTCTTATTCGCCAATATTATTTAGCAAAAAAAGGAAATAAATATGAAAGGGAAAAAACCTGGTTTGTAGATCAAGACTTGATTCAGGTACTAGAAGATGATGATGATTATCGTCAACACGATCTGAGAGTGAGCTCGAACTTCGTAATGAATCAAAACTATAACTTTTAGCTCAATTTAGGTAGTAAGATTGTAATAGCAGTGTAATCAATGTTGCATAACTAAATATAAACAAACATGTTATGATGATAAATTTTAATAAAAATTTAAAAAAAATAAAATAAGTCAATGAGGGAAAATCTATAAATTATTGAAAAAAAAGATAATTAAATGAACAAAATACTTGAAGTGCAAAGATTGAAATGAGTGTAAAGGTGAAGGAGCAGGCGATATCCCGATGCCATTCCCGGACAACGGGGTTTCTGGTGGTTCAGTACAATCACTGAATGGACTAAGAGGAGCGGGGGAATAAATGCAAGGTGATAATAAGTCTTTTGAGCAGATATCAGAATCACCATCTCCTTCTAGGCTACAAATTGCGCTTTTGAACATTTCAACAACATTGAACATTTCTGCCAAAAACATGTTGATAATTGTTTTATGTTACAAATTTTTATTTTTAATTAAATTTGTCTACATGACATCAACGTGACCTTGGCAATTCAATTATTAAATTGTACCAAAATACTTGCCAAAATTTAATTACTTTTCAGTACGAAAAGTCACAGATATATCTGTACGCACGTCAAAATCAAAAAAATACCTGCTTAATATTTCCATTTTTCTCATTTTTTATTAATGTGTGAATAATAATTCATTTGCATAAAATCATACTTATATAATAGATCGCAAATGTATTTTATCCAACGATTTGGAATATTTTCATGTGCAATTCTATTATTGCTACTGAATATGATCTCCAAACACAATTTTACAAAAGTTACGCCAAAAGCAGAAAAATAAATCAATAATGTATTTATATCTACAGTATAATATAATGTTTTCACTTTGACATACAACATATAGGTCAAAGTGCAACCAAATCTTTGACTTAATATGATTAATTTAATGCTACAACGTCGAAAGTTTTTATGAATATTTTTAGCAAGAATTATTTTGCATTTATTTTTGCTTTGCATATTTTCATTGTAATATTCGAATGGAATCTTCAAGCACAATGATTTTGATTACTTTATTATTTTAGCATTAGCGAGAATTTACAGTAATTCTATTCTAAGCGCTTAATTGATTTATTCATTTCATCGAATTTGTGCATGAAATTATTTTAAATTCTGTTAAACTTCACTTATAATAATTAAAAATGTGAATTACCTTGACTTTTTACTTTCCCTGAAACAAGCCCAACACTGACTAAGACTGTCAGTAGCTAGACTTATTGAACTTCTTGGACTTGATCCTAAGTCACTCGTTGCATTTGGACTAAGTGGAGATAACTTGTTCCAGTCCATTTCTGAGAGATAGCTTGCTGATAGCTTAATAATTTTTTAAAATTACTATTAATAAAATAGTAGTTGCAAAAAATTAAAAAATATTGCAATAATATAAAAAGTAACGATTGGTTAATAATATTATTCAGTAATAACATTTCTTAAAATTCAAATTTCTAGTGATAATGAAAATAACTGCAAAGATATGAATTAAAAATTGTTTTAAAATGTATTATAAATCTTTAGAAAGTTTAAAGTGGTAAATATAAGCTAACTTTGTTTTTTTATAAGTCAAAATTGAGCTAAGTTTTTTTCAAATCAATGATTGATTCAAAGTAAAAGTCTTCATATTTTATTCATTGTTTGGATGGCTCTAAAGTGAGCATTTGTATTGAAACTTGTAATAAATTAACTAAATAATTACAATCGTACTTACTTACCAAATCCATTCGTTCTATAGCATCGGCGTTCAACGGATAAGGACGTCTTAATCGAGAACCACCGGGAATTGTAGGTGAAGATGGAGCACTTGGTCCTTGTTCACAAATTACTGGTGTACACTGTAAAATACTTCTCATTTTAAATTTTAAATATGCTAATCAATGTCTATTTTTAATTTTTATATTTTTTAAACTATTTTTTAATTATTTTATTATATTTTTGTAAAAATAAATATTTAAAAAAGTTGCAAACGTTACGTTATTAATAATTTACATACTTTCTTCTCATAAATTTCAATTTTAATTACACAAGTGCCATCAATTTCATGAGATCTGAATGACAGTTTTGATAAGAAATCATAATAAAACTTTAATCAGATCTGAATAATGAAAAATCTGAAATCTATACACATTACAAGTTAGTAGCAAAAGCTTACAATGACAAAAATTTTCAAAAACAATTTTTTAGCAATTTTTTGAAAATTAAAAAAAATACTTTATTAGTATTTCAAATAAATTCACAAAAGATGCAAAAATTTTCAGTACATAAAATAATTTATTGCTTTTTATGAAGGCTTATTAATTTTTAGCTTTTTTTGTTAAAAAAAAACCTAATTAAAAATTCTGATTAATTATTAATTCTGATTTAAAATTCTGATTAAGAATTTTAAAAAACCGAAACTATTTTTCTACACAATTTTTTTTTTTATTACTTATTACTTATTTTTCTACTAGTACTTATTTTTCTACACAATTTGAAGCTAATATCAATTTTCAAAAGTTTGTTTGCTTAACGGAAAAAAATACATCAAATAAGCTTAAATGTAAAAATAAGACTTAGTGACACTTTTCAATAATCTTTTTCAGTGTTACTTATATGAGAAGAAGTATAATTCCTCAAAATATTAATTTAATTAGTTTCAAGCTGAAATTACTAACTTAACAAGAGAAATTCACTATCGAACATAAAAGATATTGTAATACAATTTTACCATTTATCGCCACTTACTAATGTTTCTAATTTTTAGACAGTAATTTTGTTGGTATAATACAGTAGTAACAAACAAAAGTTAATAATATCGTTATTTCTTACCAAACAAATAAATAAAAATATCATATTAATAAGATAATAAATTTAATATGCAAAATTCTAAAGCATCACAGAATAGGTCATATTTTTTAAACTGCTATTAAAAAAATATATGCAAGCGTTGAAATAATTGAAGGATTTTAATATGATTATATTTATATATATATATATATAACAGTTAAAGGATAACTTTTAAGGTGGAATCGACGCTTTCAGCATCGTTACCAATTTTTGGCTCGCAAATGATTGTTGTCTTATCACCTAAAAAATGATAATTTGATAGCTTGAGCTAACTACTGTTATCAGTACTTTAAACTTGATCACTAAAATCACTCAAGTTTAAAGTAGTGATAACAGCACTTAGATTACTGTAATTCAAATATACAGTTCAAGAAAATTATAAACATTTCTAAAAAGCAAATAATTATGAAAAAAATATCGAAAAAAATTGATCTTAATGAAAATAAAAAATTACATTAAAAAAGCAACTCTTAAGAAACTTCTGCATTTTTTTAATAATTAAAACAGTGAAGGATTTTGCAAGCAATGCAAAAGAGTGAAGTAGAAAATGGAAGAAGCACCTGATGGAAGAGTAATCAAAGGTCCATCGTATATTGAAGAGTTTGATTCTGGAGAATTTGCCCTGGCAGATTTCGGAAGTGATAGTTTTGGCAGTGATAAGAGCACTTAAATCTCTGAGTATTATTTATAAGCAGTATTGTTCAGATGGAAAATTATTAATAAATATTGTCAAAATGTAAAAAACAAAAAAAAAACTTTTCATAGAAATAATCAAAATATCACAAAATGAAAAGTAAAACAATTTTTCAAATCAGTGGATATTAGAAATTTGTGATATTTAATTTATACTTTAGTATTTTGGGAAAAGTTACTGAATAAATAAAATAATGAAAATTTTAAATTTGAAATGGAATAAAGAGAAAAACCAACAAGTACTCGAGTTTGTCAATTCAATTTGTGGTGTTTGTTTGCTGTAAGCATTGTTAGTGATCATTTACAATTGCTTAATTTTATTTTCTATTCAAATTTCTTTTATTTAGAATCTGAAAATCATATCAGTTAATTAATTAATCATGAATAATGACCAAATTTGACATTTATTGCTCATTTATACAATCAGTTTGACCAAATTTGACATTTATTGCTCATTTATAAAATCAGTTTTGAACTATTTATTACTGTAATTGATGATTATATTTCTTGCAATTTTTGTAAAAATTTGTGGTAAAAGTGAAAAATTATTCTAGTAATTAAGCAGTTACATTGCCACTATTTATTACTATTATTAATAATTACTACTATTATCTATTATTACTGTTTGATATTATTATTATTGTTTAGTATTATTATTATTATCGTTATTTTTGTTAACATATAGCTGCACGGTATTCTTTACTTTATCAAAATTTATTCTTTTGTATGCTATTAAATTATTATTTTTTAAATTTGATTTTTATAAAAATTTTACAAAACTAAAAAGTTATTATTCATTGTATTATTGCCATCTTTGCATTACTATTCTAATTACTGAAATACCAAAAAGTTTCCATAAAAAATATAAATCTAAAACAATTTTTGTATAATTAATGATAACAAGTTTCTGTGCAGAAATATTACTATAGAGAACGCTGCTTAAGAAAAAATTTTTAAATTACTAATGATAAAATAACAATAATATTATTAGTATTTTTATTTCTATTGCTATAAATAATATCAAGGCTCACAGTTAATTTGTTCACCTATTTTACTACCTTCAAACCAATTATAAATTTCATTTATAATTCAAAGGTGATGCCATTTTGTATAAGCTTAAGAATAAAGTAAACATTTTCAATTTTTAAAATTTTTGAATTCAAAATGAAAAAAGGTTTGTGTTATATCAGATAAGAAGTGATTTAAAGATGAGCACGTTATGAATTCTAGTTATCATCATAACAAATTATTCTAGGTACCATCACAAATTATTCTAAGTACCACCACAAATTATTCTAGATACCAGCACAAATTATTCTAGGTACCATCATAAATTCTTCTAGGTACCATCACAAATTATTACTAAATTCTGTTAATGTGAGCAAATTTACTTACTCTTTTGCTAATGATTCCACCACAAATTATTTTAGATACCAGCACAAATTATTCTAGGTACCATCACAAATTATTCTAGGTACCATCACAAATTATTACTAAATTCTGTTAATGTGAGCAAATTTACTTACTCTTTTGCTAATGATTAACAGTTTTTGCTTATTTGGGTATTAATTTTATTTCTTTGTGATACCTATAATAATAGTTAGTAGACTAGAAGAATACATAAGTAATCACAGAAGTAATTTTTTGAACGATTGATTAGCAAAATGGTAAAAAATTTGTGATCTCCATAATCTGCCGATTTGAGTATAATTTTTAACAAACCAATAAATCAACTAATGATTTAATTAATGCATCCACTAATATTGCTTATCGCTCTGTTTACTAAATATAATTTGAATTCATTTGAATGATCTGTAAGAACTGAATCTATCAAGCAGTATACTTGACAAAAACTAGGTGAATCTATTCTTAACAGTTCACTGACTGCATCTACCTATCTAATATTTAACAGCTCAATGAATCTACTTGTTAATTATTAACAGCTCAATGGCTCTATTTATTCCAATTTTTTAACACTTTGATGGATTTATCTGCTTGATTTTTAACTTGCTAATTTTTAACAATTCACTGAATCTACTTGTTTCACTTTTGAAATTAAGGCCAAAATGATCATATACTTGATGAGATAAAAATCAATTCCAATTCTACCATGTATTAATTCAGAAGGTCAAGAAAAAGTTTTAAGCAAACTTTATAACTTGCAGCATTTTTTAACTTTGACAATTG